TCAGTTGACGACTGGAAAGCGCGCCTAAAGGACTGAATGTGACTTCAGGTGCGCAATTTGCCGCTCTGTCATTGGTCGAGCCAATTGTTTGATTTGCGTGCACCGTCGTCAACTGACGTTCCCATTCTGTTGCTAAACCAGCCTATTGTGTCATATCAATGTAAATCTGTCAAAAGTTTGAAAACGAAACAAATTACAAAACATATGTTGTATATACCCTATCGAGGGGACAAGGCAGAAACTGAAGTTTTCCCCGGTTTCTTGAAAGAAGCTAAAATGCTTGATCTCGCATATATCCTTGGTCTTTTGCTTCTTGGTAAGCAAAAGCTCTGACTTGAGGTTTGCGAAAATTTACAAAGTTTCCTCTAGCTTTATCAATTAAACCATTTTAGGAGGTGTCTCTGAGTTTTCTTTTCAGTTCCGGGCATTTTCATGTATCCTAAGTTCATACATTCATTGCACTTATTTGATTTTACAAATAAAAAGAACTTTTAAGAAAAATAATTTCTATTCTCTATTTTAATTTCTTTTTGTGCGATGTTTCTGCTTTTGTTATATTAATTATAACAGCCTGATTAAAGCTTACGCTGCCGCTTAAATTTGTTATTTTTTTATCCCCAAAACCGAGGTAATTAGTAAAGAAAAAAGCTTCCGTTGTGCTCTAGTTTCCGAAGCAATACGTTTAATAAAAAGTGTTTTTACATGTTTCAGCTTTTTAAACATTTTTTTGTGACTGTTACAACACTTTTAGCGACTATACCACTAATTACACGGTTATTACTTTCATTCTTAGCCAGGTCCAGTTGCTAAAACAGTGTGGGCGGAAGAAGTTATATGATAACTAACTGAATACAGGAACTTTGTGTAGAAGTTTATAAATTAAGTTCGCTGACGTATTTTCTGTACAACATTTTTCACCCCTTCTTACAAATTCGTTTTGTGAAGGATTCCCCGCTTACCTATTCTAGTTGTGTCATCGACGCCAGTTTAGTCAAATAACGCAGAGTCGGCAGAATGTTAGGGTTACTAAGCAATTCCTATGTTTGTTATCGAATCTGACACTATTATGAGCCGCCACATTTGACACCGTATTATATATCCAACTTAAATAGCCTAGAAGATAAAATATGACAAAACAAAACTAACACATCTTTAACTGAACTTCGCCTTGTCGGTCCTGGCCGGTTTAAGTGGCATTTTGTCCAGTTTTGCACTCGTAGGTACTATCCGCTAAAATACGAAGTATTTAGTCTTTAGTCTTTTTTTCTTGGTGAGCATTTAGAGCCCTAATTTAGGATTTGCGAAAATTTACAAATTTTCTACTAGCTTTATCAATAAAACTGTTTTAGCAGGTGGCCCTGAGTATTGGAAATTTTTTTTTCTTTTCAGTACTATGTCTTTTGCATTATATCTTGAGTTCACACATTCATTGCACTGGTTTGAATTTATAAAAAAAGAAAAACGTTCAAGACAAGAAATTAATTTCCATTCTCAACTTTTTTGTGTGCGATAGTTTCTGCTTTTGTTATTTAACAAATTAATCATAAAAGCCTGGTTAGAGCTTAAACGGCAGCTTAAATCGGTTATTTTTTATCCACAAAACCGAGGTAATGAATAAAGGAAAAAGTTTCCTTTGTACTCTAATTTCCGAAACAATACGTTTATTAAAATATGTTTTATATGTTTTAGCTTTTAAAACATTTTTTGCGACAGCTACAGCGCTTTTAGCGACTATACATGGTTAGTACTGTCATTATTAGCCAGGTCCAGTTGCTAAAACAGTGTGGGTGAAACAAGTTATATCATAACTAGCTGAATTGTCAATAAAGCAAATTTGTGTAAAATGTTATAATTTTTTTAGCTGGCTCACGTATTTCTGTGTAACATTTTTCACCATTTCTAACAAATTAGTTTTGTTAAGTATCCCCCGCTTATCTATTCTAGTTGTGCAATCGACGCAAGTTTAGTCAAATAACGCAGAGTAGGATTAGAAAAAAGAAAACGGTTTCATAATTATTTCGGTTTTAAATGTTTCCGAAAAGAAAACATCATGTCAATAAGTAACATTTTCCTTAAATAACGTTCCGATAACACATTTTGTTAATATATCAATCTTTGGTATTTTATGGAAAGCTAGTATGCTGTACAAATTGCATATATAGTTTTCAAGCGAAACCTTAGACTTTGGCTGGTATAAATTCATTTATGTTGGTCAATGTTGGAAAAACATTGTTTTGATTATGAGCGATACGTTAACCCACCCATTAAATTATTCCATGACGCCGGAGAGTCTATGGACGATATGAAAAAAAAAAAAGGTTTTATTAAAAACCATCACAGTGGAAAATGTGTGTTCTGTTGGTGCTTAATTAACACATTACCCTTCACCGGAGTCTGTAAAGAAATGTAAAAGGTTTATATTCTTAAGAATTTTCACAACACATTATTATTCCTTTGCTCAACATTTTCCGAGGCTAATTTTCGCCGCTGCATTTTGTGAATACGAATAAATTAATTAAAGCTGACACTTTGCTTCAGCTGATGTAGCACAGTAAGAGCTGATTAAGCAACCGAACGGGAACGTCAGTTGACGACTGGAAAGCACGCCTAAAGGACTGAACGTGACTTCCGGTGCGCAATTTGCTGCTCTATCATTGGTCAAGCCAATTGTTTGATTTGCGTACACAGTCGTCAACTGATGTTCCCATTCTGTTGCTAAACCAGCCTATTGTGTCATATCAATGCAAATCTGTCAAAAGTTTGAAAACGAAACGAATTGCACGAGAGGATCTTTCTTTGCTTCATAACTGCGTGTTAAGAAGAAAAATATCTTGCTCCCAACAAGGAATTTAGGTTTCCTCATGTGAAGTAGGCAAAGCATTTCGCATAGTTGTTAACGAGAAAGATCTGACAAAATCACCCTTAGCTGTTAGGCAAGTAGCTACGCAAAACTTTAATTATCCAGTAATTTACCAATAAAGTGTAAATAACAATAAGCAACCGCCATCTTTGGTGCGACTATTTAAAGTTAAACTATCAGTCGAGTTTCATGTCAAATTGGAATCAGTCAATAGGACTTCGCTATCTGTTTGTAGCAACCGACCTGCTTCAAATTGAATGGGGACTTGGCAATCTCCGTAATCATTTCTAAAGGGACCTATGGCAAGTTTGGCCGAATAACACTAGCAGTTAAGAATAAAGAACTTGTATTAACTTTCGATTAACTTAAAATGTTGTAGCCTCACCGGCTCGTCAATTTCGTTCACCATTAAAGAACATCTGTACTTATTTATTCTGAATAGCAGTCAGCGTCATTTGAGTTCATTTTCGGCTTTGGCTGCAGGTGTTTAATAAAACATTGTTAAAGCTAGATTTGGTTTATTGTCGAGAAAGTTTCTCCTGCAAGCAATGCTATAATCGCGCTTTGTACAAGGTTAGTAACCTGGTATCAACACGTTTTTAGTTTAATTAAATATCTTCCTCAAGAAAAAAAGGTAACGGATAAAGTACCTGAACGTATCTCAAAGGGTATTATTAGAATTATTTCCTTCTCGTGCCAATGCGAAAACATAACACTGAAATTGTTTCAATTTAATGGAAAATTCAGTCCTTTTATAAAAACATTTTTTAAAGTTATCTGAACTTGGTAACATGCATAACTTTGTGAAAAATTCTGCGCCGTGTGCATTGTGTGAGCAATGTTGTTTGACATTTGACTGTTGATTCAAACAGCGGAACTTTTCATTACGCCCAACTCTCAATTAGTAGATGCAAACTAGAACAATTTCAAAGCACAGTTTAAAAGGCAAAAGGTAGTTGTTTAAAATGGCTAGAGATCCTTATAATATATTTCAAACGCACGAGAAATTCTTATTGAAGAACTAACCAGGAGGTAAAAAAGGTTCCCATTTTTATTGTTTTTGCGTCAAATTTCCAGGTTCTTGGGCACATTAAAAATTTGCTGAAACTTTTTAACGCATCGAAAATGAAAAACGTGTTTATATTAACCGAACAAGTTACAAAACATATGCTTATATATACCGTACCGAGGGCATAAGGCAGACACTGAAGTTTTCTCCGGTTTCTTGAAAGAAGCTGAAATGCTTGATCTCGCATATAACCTTGGTCTTTTGTTTCTTGGTGAGCGAAAACTCTCACTTAAGGTTTGCGAAAATTTACAAAGTTTCCTCTAGCTTTATCAATTAAAACATTTTAGGAGGTGTCTCTGAGTTTTCTTTTCAGTACTAGGTATTTTCATATATCCTAAGTTCATACATTCATTGCACTTATTTGATTTTACAAATAAAATAAAAAAATTAAGAAAAATAATTTCTATTCTCTATCATTTTAATTTCTTTTTGTGCGATGTTTCTGCTTTTGTTATATTAATTATAACAGCCTGGTTGAAGCTTACGCTGCCGCTTAAATTTGTTATTTTTTTATCCCCAAAACCGAGGTAATTAGTAAAGAAAAAAGCTTCCCTTGTGCTTTAGTTTCCGAAGCAATACGTTTAATAAAAAGTGTTTTTACATGTTTTAGCTTTTTAAACATTTTTTTGTGACAGTTACAACGCTTTTAGCGACTATACCACTAATTACACGGTTATAATACTGCCATTATTAGCCAGGTCCAGTTGCAAAACAGTGTGGGCGCAAGAAGTGATATCATAACTAACTAAATACAGGAACTTTGTGTAGAAGTTTATAAATTAATATCGCTCACGTATTTTCTGTACAACATTTTTCACCCTTTCTTACAAATTCGTTTTGTTAAGGTAGTCAAATAACGCAGAGTCGGCAGAATGTTAGGGTTACTAAGCAACTCTTCTACAAAAATTAGAAAGCTTTCCATTAACTTAAAATGTTGTAGCCTCACCGGCTCGTCAATTTCGTTCACCATTAAAGAAAACTATCTGTACTTATTTATTCTGAATAGCAGTCAGCGTCATTTGAGTTCATTTTCGGCTTTGGCTGCAGGTGTTTAATAAAACATTGTTAAAGCTAGATTTGGTTTATTGTCGAGAAAGTTTCTCCTGCAAGCAATGCTATAATCGCGCTTTGTACAAGGTTAGTAACCTGGTATCAACACTTTTTTAGTTTAATTAAATATCTTCCTCAAGAAAAAAAGTAACAGATAAAGTACCTGAACGTATCTCAAAAGGTATTATTAGAATTATCTCCTTCTCGTGCCAATGCGAAAACATAACACTGAAATTATTTGAATTTAATGGAGAATTCTGCCCTTTTATAAAAACATTTTTTAAAGTTATCTGAACTTGGCAACATGCATAACTTTGTGAAAAATTCTGCCCCTTTTGCATTGTGTGAGCAATGTTGTTTAACATTTGACTGTTGATTCAAACGGCGGAACTTTTCATTACGCCCAACTCTCAATTAGTAGATGCAAACTAGAGCAATTTCAACGCACAGTTTGAAAGGCAAAAGGTAGTTGTTTAAGATGGCTAGTCAAAAAGAGATCCTTATAATATACTTCAAACGCACGAGAAATTCTTATTAAAGAACTAACCAGGAGGTAAAAAAGGTTCCCATTTTTATTGTTGTTGCGTCAAATTTCCAGTTTCTTGGCCACATTAGAAATTTGCTGAAACTTATTAACACATGGAAAATGAAAAACGTGTTTATATTAAACGAACAAATTACAAAACATATGTTTGTATATACCGTACCGAGGGCACAAGGCAGAAACTGAAGTTTTCTCCGGTTTCTTGAAAGAAGCTGAAATGCTTGATCTCGCATATAACCGTGGTCTTTTGTTTCTTGATGAGCAAAAGCTCTCACTTATGGTTTTAGAAAATTTACAAATTTTCCTCTAGCTTTATCATTTAAACCATTTTAGCAGGTGTCTCTGAGTTTTATTTTCAGTTCCAGGCAGTTTCATATATCCTAAGCTCATACATTCATTGCACTTATTTGATTTTACAAAAAAAAAAAACTTTTAAGAAAAATAATTTCTATTCTATGTTTTAATTTCTTTTTGCGGGATGTTTCTGCTTTTGTTATATTAATTATAACAGCCTGATTAAAGCTAACGCTGCCGCTTAAATTTGTTGTTTTTTATCCCCCAAACCTAGGTAATTAGTAAAGAAAAAAGCTTCTGTTGTGCTCTAGTTTCCGAAGCAATACGTCTAATAAAATATATTTTTACATGTTTTAGCTTTTTAGACATTTTTTGTGACAGTTACAACGCTTTTAGAGACTATACCACTAATTACACTGTTAATACTGTCAGTATCAGCCAGGTCCAGTTGCTAAAACAGTGTGGGCGGAAGAAGTTATATCATAACTAACTGAATACAGGAACTTTGTGTAGAAGTTTATAAATTAAGATCGCTCACGTATTTTCTGTACAACATTTTTCACCATTTCTAACAAATTAGTTTTGTTAAGTATCCCCCGCCCGCTTAACTATTCTAGTTGTGTCATCGACGCCAGTTTAGTCAAATGACGCAGAGTCGGCAGAATTTTAGGGTTACTAAGCAACTCTACAAAAATTAGAAAGCCGCGAGAATTAGTAGGAGTAAAAATTATGAGAGTATTATAAAAAAAGAAAACGGTTCGATAATTATTTCGGTTTTAAGTGTTTCTGAAAAGAAAACACAAAGTCAATAACTAACATTTTCCTTAAAAAACCTTGAGATACCACTTAATGTATATAATTTAACTGCCAATGTGTATGTCGTGTCTTTTCCCCGCGAATTTTAATTATGTTAATGTATTTTCTTTGTTTTCGAGCACGTGACATAGTTGTGATGCAGTCGGTCACAAAATTTAGTTCGCGTGGATTCTATTTTCTTCTTTGTAGCTTGATAGTTCAGTTTGATGCGGTTGCATGAACAAGTTTTTTCGAGTATCGTCGGTGAATTCGTATTTGCTCGTGAAATAGCGGCGAAAGGAAACGGTGGATTAAACAGGATTTAGGGACGACGCGTGGACTAGTAATTTGTGGCGAGTATGATCTTCTCGTCGAAGTATCCCACAGTGTAATACATTAATCTTTGGTATTTTTTTGGAAAGCTAGTATGCTGTAAAAATTGCAGAGATAGTTTCACACGCTACCTTGGACTTTCAAGTGTAAATTCATTGATGTTAGACTATGTTGGAGAAACATTGTTTTCATTATGAGCGATAAGTTTACCCGTCCCATTAAATTATTCCATGAGGACTGAGAGTCTAAGAAACGATATGGAAAAAAAAATTTATTTAACGGTAACCATTACATTGGAAAATGTGTGTTCTCTTATTGCTTAACACATTATCGTTTACTGGAGTCCGTAAAACTCGGTAAAATGCATAACTTCGTAAATTCTGCGCCTTTCATGCATTGTCTGGGCCATGCTGTTTGAAATTTGACTGATGATTCAAACAGCTGAACTTTTTATTGCGCCCAACTCAATTAGCAGATGAGCACAAAGAAAATTTCAACGCACAGTTTAAAACGCAAAATAACGTTGTTTAAAATACCCAGAGACCACTTTAGCATATTTTGAATGCAACAAAAATTTTTATTTGCGAATTAACCGAGAGGTAAAAAAAATATATTCCCGTTAGTTTGTTTTTGTTTTTTTTGTGTGTCAAACTTTGCGGTTCCGTGTCGGAATATCACGTTAAAAATTTGTTTAACCTTATTCAAACGTTTCGAAAATGAAATGCCTTTATATTAACCGAACTGGTGACAAAAAACTATCTTTGACATGATCAAGAAGTATTGACAGTATTGTTAGCTGCGTTTTAACATAAGGATATAGGAATAAACCGATCGTATTTAGTAACATCTTATCACAGAGAAAAAGCGTTTGCTAGCTGCAGGATTCTATCGCCAGCCTTTCGAAAGAATTACATTCATAACCTCTCCTTTTTAACGTCCCTTTATTACGGACGCTTTGCTTGGTTCTATGTAAAGATATCAAACTTCATACAATTCCCAACTCCGTAATACGCACAACTCTGTAATGAGGACACCTGAATCTGTCCCTTTCAGTGTCCGTCAATTTGCAATTTCACTGTGCTTAACGTGGTTGCTCTATTTACTTCTTTATTTTTTGTTCTGTTTAACAATTAATGTGGACTCCTGGCTTTGTCGCTTTTATGTAAATGAAGTTGAAGATAAAGTTGAAGTCAGAACGCAGGAGCAGGAGCACCGAACGACGTTATTTGCCCCCCAAAATTCAGAAACCTATTTTAGGTCATATAAAGTGCTTTTTTAAAAACGCTTTCCAAGCGTTGCCACGAACTTTTTATCTGTTTGGTCGTTCACTAAGGCAAACAAACCATTTGGAATTCATAAGGGTTGAATTGTCATTTTCTCGAAAATGACGGCTGACATATCCATACGTTTACGGAAACGTGAAATTTCCTATTACTCTTTCCATCACTATTTTCGAAAACGAAAAGCTTGCAGGTGCTTTCTTTCACAGGAAATAGCCAAATCAGTAGAGTGAAATGTGAAAAACTATATCTTTAAATTGAAGAAAAGAGAAGACAATAGAAAATGCGAAGATTTTAAAGGGCGCCTTCCATTTGTCAGAACTAACCAGCCAGACCATTCCCGTCGCAATGATAACTTCCGTTTTAAACAAAACTCTCCAGCCAGATAGGTCAAATCCTAAACAGCTATAGTATGCACGAAGAAGAACATTTTTCAACAAAAACTCTTGGAAAAAGCCTATTTCATTTTCAAACTGACTGGATGGGCAGTCGTCCGGCCGGCCAGTTCTGACAAATGAAAAGCGGCCTTCGATAGACGTGAGGGACTGTAACTAATCGATTAATAAATTTCTGGAGATACCAGCGGTTCAGAATGAAAACACCTCAATTTTGAGATCCTTTGTTGCAGATTTGCGATCACCAGCTAATATGCAGCAGATTGTTATAAATCTGCCTCCGAAAATTGTTGTAAGGCGGAGCACGCGAAAGTTAGGGCTCACTAAGGCACAGCCGAAGGAATTTGACCTCACCTACCTAGATGAGTGCCTTGAGACAAAGAATCAAGTCCAAGAGATGGCTTTTGCTTGTGGCAGTACTAAAGCGTATAGTCAAATTCAAAAACCAAGTCAAATTCCAAAAAATCGGAGTGGTTCAAGAAAACAAACAAACGAAAAAAAAAAACTCCCTTAATGAGACTCATGTAAATTCAGGAGCTAAGGTGGAATGTTTTGTGTGGAAAGAAATAAAATGGTAACTGGCGAAGAAGTTGTGTTTGTAACTTCACTGCCTCAAAAGAGGACATGGAGTTGAACGGTGCTCATTATAGGGGAGCAAGGGACATATCCAGTAGAAGGGTAAGTGCGACGATACCACCCACAACTTCATGCAGCCATGGCGCCATCACAGTTAAACCCGTCGGCTGAGACATTTTATCCCCCGCAAGCAGTTACAGGAGACACGTCAACCAATGGGGCAGCTAACCACACAACCTGTGGAGGGACTGAAGAAGCTGCAATTGTACCACCCCCTGGAAAGGTTGCCCTGCAGATGGTACCTCGTTCTGGTTCCTCCTACCTTAAGGAGTAGATGACTGATAAATTGGGTTTGCACGCTTAGCGTACTGAGCATTCCGTGTTGCTGTTTTTGGAGAGAAGTCGATTGTGGCGGATAACAAAACTGTTACTGTGCGGCTATAGAGTATGCAAGGGAGTGTTAAGAAACACGTTTTCCTATGGATAACCCCGAAAATTTGTGAAATGACAGTAGTTGATTTGTCCCCAATGCGAAAAAAAAAATCATCTTTGCGATTTGAATATCAGAAAGCTAGTTGAACATGGAGAATTTGATTTATTTATTATAAAAGATTATTTTGAGAAACTCCTTTTACCACTTGACAATGGCATAGGAAAGCCGCAGGAGCCTGTAGGGAACTAGAGGTAGTATCCCTCGGATAGACAATTGTTGGACATATTTTGGAAGTAGCAAACTAGTGTCAAATTGGTAAGCACGTCTTCACATTCCATGCAACCTTTAGGGACGATGAGCTCATACGGAAGATGTGGCATGAATAAGTTGTGGAGTCACTTTTCGAAACAAGGTCTTGACAAAAGAAGAGGTGGTTGATGTGCACATAGTGGCAGAGTTAAGGAGTTTTTCCTGAGGGGCGCTATAAGGTGGCTATTCAATGGCCACGGTTGTAGTGCAGCAGAAAGACCACTCAAGACCGACTCTACTCTCTTGGAAACAACTTTAGCGAAGGTCGAACGTTGCTGGGAAATACTGCCAGGTGATGAAAGCAATAAAGCCAAGGGTTACATCCGGAAGCTGGTACAGGGAAAATTGATTATGGGCAAAGATGGTACCTAACTTATTTTCCTGTAGTGAGAGAAGACAAATAGGCTACTGTAACGACATTGAGAGACTAAACAGGCGAAAATTCATCAACACAACAGCTTTGATCAGGCAGAGCTAAGAACAATTACTTCGAGCACATGGTATAACTAGCCCGCCCGCTAAGACTGATGGGAACTAAAGGATTACGTCACATCTGCCCTCTAAGTCGTAAATAAACTTTGCTCCTGAGTAAACATAATATAGTTCAGAGTCTCTTATTTTAAAACGTTCTGGGAGTCTTATCTCCCGACCACTTCTCGTGATCTTCCTAGGGGTAGTAGGTGTCGGGGTCTGCACAGGACGGCTGGTCGTTGTTATGTTCTCGGGCAAACAGACAACTGCACGCAAGATGGTGGATAAACTAACTGTATTAATCAAAGAGCGCATGGGTTTCACAGTAACCGCATACATACTGCGGGCTCAGTATGAATTACTGACACTATAACAAATGTAATGATACACTATAACACCTCCCCGTAGAAATGTTGTGCCTGACAAGTAATTAAAGTACAAGACAACTGTTGAAACTCTCTAAATGATCAACAGTTCAAGAAAAGAAACAAAACTATTAAAAGCACTGTTCAGTGTCATTAAGGCGAGACTTAATGATTTTATTCCATTTCTTCAATCAGTCTCTGTGGTGGTTTAGTAGCACGTTTGGACCGACGCGGAGCAGGGGTGGGAGGAGTAGCTGCGCTTGGTGACTCCACTGACTCTGATTCTTCAGGTGGGGGTGTACTGCTTTCGATACTGGGAGAAGTAACGCCTTCAGTAGATTGATCAGATGTAACTTCCACAGAGCTGGATTGAGTCACAGCAGAACTAGGGGTGTTTTGAAGTACATCGTCAACATGTCTCCTCCAATTCCGTCCATCGTTCAACTGGACTTGAAAGGAAGCAGGCGATGTTTGCTGTACGACAGTACCGGCTTGCCACTTCTGTCCCGATAGGTGGTCACGTGCGAGAACACAGTCGCCTACAGCTATCTCCTTGTATTTTGCAAACTTGTCGTGATCGCACTTCATTCTGTCTTGCTGGCTGGCCACGCGAGATCCAGTATCAGGGGTAACCAGAGACAATCGAGTGCGAAGTTCTCGCTGTAAAAATAGCTTTGAGGGGATGAGCCGGTTGTAGCGTGTGGTGTGCTTCTGTAAGATAATAGGAAATTCTGAATCCGCCGCTGTATAGAGCTTGCGGGATCGTCAGCTGATGACTCAATTGCATACTTGGAAGTCTGCTCAAACCGCTCAGCCAACCCATTTGAAGAGGGATGGTAAGGGGAAACAAAAATTCTCTGAATGCCATTTTGCCGCAGGAACTCTTCATACTCTGCAGACTGGAAGGGTGGGCCATTGTCGCTGACTACTTGGGTTGGTAGACAGTATCTTGCAAAAATAATACGCATGGCATTAATGGTTGAGTCGGCTGTTGTTGTTTTCATGGGACCAATCACTTCAGGCCACTTAGAGTGGGCGTCGACCATGATGAGGTAATGTTTTGCCTGATGGGTGGCAAAATCTACGTGAACACGTTGCAATGGAGCTGTCGGCCAAGACCATGGAAGAAGCGGTGAGGTTGGAGGAGCCCTGTGGGTTTTGTTGCACGGTTGACATTCACGGGTAACCTTTTCAATCTCCTGATCTATTTTCGGCCACCAAACATGACTGCGGGCTATTGATTTCATGCGTGCAATTCCAGGATGACCTTCATGTAACTCTGTCAGGATAGTTTGTCTTAAAGACGGAGGTATGACAGTTCGCAGGCCCCACATAAGGCAGCCTTGCTCCACAGAGAGTTCGTGTCTGCGTGTGAAGTATGGCTTGAGGTCAGGATCGGCGCAGCGATTAATAGGCCAACCATTCTGCGTAAGCAACAGTGCTTTCGCTAACAAAGGGTTTGTAGATGTGTCCTTGGCGATTTCTGCGGCAGAAACTGGGTGTCGTTTTAACCGCTGAGGGGCCACGTGGAAGATTTCCTCTTCCACACTTGCATCTTTCCTGTACTGAAGTGGGAGCCTTAACAAGGCGTCAGCGCTGGCTACTTAGAAGATGACTTGAACTCAATTTCGTAGTGGTACGAAGAGAGAAGAAGGGATCAGCGTTGCAGTCTAGCAGCAGCCAAAATTGGAGTCGCAGAATCCGGAGCAAATACTTTCAACAGGGGTTTGTGATCAGTTCGCTGAGTGAACTTGCGTTCGAAGACATACATGTAAAATTTGGTGACCCCAAAAATGATGGCAAGACCTTCCTTCTCGATCTGACTGTAGTTTTTCTCAGACGAGTTCAAGGACCTGGGGGCATATGCGATAGGTCGCTCATCACCATTAGGGAAGCGGTGAAATATGACTGCTCCGATTCCATACTGGCTAGCATCGCTCTCAAGAATAACAGGAAGGCTCGGGTCATAATTAACCAATACATGAGAGGATGAGAGTGAGTCCTTGGCCTTTTTAAATGCCTCCTCGCACCAGGGGGGCCACTGGAATTCTTGGTTACCTTGGAGAAGCTGATTGAGTGGTTGGAGGATAGAGCTCAGGTTTCGGACAAACTTGCCGTGATAATTGATCATTCCAAGGAAGGCTTTCAGCTGGGTGAGGTTCTCAGGGCGTGGTGCTTGTTTGATGGCCTCTACCTTTTCCTCTGTAGGAGAGATTCGGCTGGCAGAGATGACACAGCCCATGTACGTTACTGATTTCTGCATGAATTTGCATTTGCTTAGCTGAAGTCGCAAGCCATAATGGTCTAGACGGCTGAGGACGCTGTCTAAGTTCTTAATGTGTTCATCGTCATCCTTGCCAGTAATGAGAATGTCATCTTGTATACTCGCCACATGATCTAAACCCTGAAGGATGATGTCCATAGTGCGCTGGAACAAAGCGGGTGAAGAAGCAATACCGAAGGGTAGCCTTTTGTAGCGGTAAAGACCTCTGTGCGTATTGATGGTAACGAACTGTTGGTTTTCAGGATCCAAAGGGAGCTGCTGGTAGGCACTCTTTAAGTCGAGCTTAGTGAAACGTTGTCCACCCCCTTAGTTTCAAGAAGACATCCTCCGGGAAGGGAATTGGATACTGAGGGACGTGAAGCTGGGGGTTGACAGTAACGGCATAATCACCACAAGAACGTGTAGTTCCATCTGCCTTGGGGACATGAACAATTGGGGTAGCCCATTCACTGAATTCCACCCGTTCGAAAATTCCGTCTGACTCGAGACGGTTGTATTCAACTTCAACGGCTTCCTGAAGAGCATAGGGGACAGAACGAGCCTCGCAAAACTTGGTTTGAAAACGTTAGGGTGGTTTTGGATAGTTGCACGCAACTGGGAAGCCACGCCCTGTGGGAGGTCTGTCTCCGACACGCGAATATTGCAGATCTTCGTCCAGTCGAGTTTTATTCGGGACAGCCAGCCTCTTCCAAAAAGGGATGGGCCTGAGCCTTGAACAACAAGAAGTGGGACATCGGTGCTCTGGTCTTGGTACTTTAGGTGTGCAATTATTTGCCCGTGTACCTTGAGTGGGTGTCCTGTGTATGCACGTAGCCGAGTATTGGACGGCATGAGGGGTGTGCCACTGAAGTGTTTCTTGTAAGTTTCTTCTGAAATAACTGAGACGCCGGCACCAGTGTCTAATTCCATTAGAAGAGAGGTTCCGTTCAGTTCAACGGGTATCTCAATACCTTGCTGGCCTGAGCTCAGATTGTACAGCGAGAGAGAAAAAGGATCAACTGAATCATCGGGAGGACTAGTTTGAGGGTTTTCTGATCCTTCTAGCTGCTGCACTTTCTGAGGTTTCCCTTTGCATGCCTCCGAGATGTGACCAACTTTCCCGCAAGAATGACATGTGTAATTTCTATACTTACACTTTTTTCCGCAGCTCAAACATTTCGAGCGGTCTTTAATGTTGCTGCTAGAGGAATTGAACTTGCCTCGCTTGCCAGGACCCTTACGACGTTGGGTAGGCTGAAAACATCGACGATTACCAGAGTCGACTTTGTTAACAGAAGCTGAACTTTCTTGCGAGAACGCAGCAACATCCTTTTCGGCAGCTTCGGCGCCGAGGGCGACCTTCAGTGCTGCATCGAAAGGGTGTTCCTCGGTTAGCAGTTTCTTTTGTGTCTCCATACTGCGATGACCACAGACGAAACGATCGCGTAAAGCTTTATTCAGATGAGTGCCGAACTGGCAAGTTGAAGCCAGATGTTTCAGGTTAGCAGCGAACGCTGTGACACTCTCCCATTCGCGTTGTGTAAAATTGTGGAATCGGTATCTTTCGGTGATAACCAGCTTCTTCGGTGCGAAATGATTCTTTAGGATAGTGGTGAGCTGTGCATACGTTTTCTCAGAAGGAGGAATCGGTGAGCAGAGACCCGAAAGAACATCGTAGGCCTTGGCGCCAATACAAGAAATTAGGATTGCTCTTCGTTTGCGTGACTCTGCAGAGTCGGCGGGAACGCTGTTTACCACGAAATATTGTTCCAGTCGCTCCAGGTAGCGATTGATGCTTGTAGTAGCTGAATTGAAATTCTCTATTTTGCCGAGGCTTGGCATGGTCGCTCGATTTCTCGTCGCCAGAAATGTTATGTTCTGGGGTAAACAGACAACTGCACACAAGATGGCGGATCAACTAACTGTATTAATCAAACAGCACATGGGTTTTACAGTAACCGCATACATACTGTGGGCTCAGTATGAATTACTGACACTATAACAAATGTAATGATACACTATAAGAGTCGTAACGCTGAAAGATGCTTGATCAGGAACTACAGTGTCTCCCTGGTTTCCTACTTCAGATTTTTCAGGTAGGGGGTTCAGGTGGCGTTTTTTTACTCCTCAGCTCACCATTTGAGCATCTACTGCGTAAGACAGTGGGGTTCCAACTTTGTTCAGAACTGTCCCTTCAACTCTCTGGTCTGGTAACCAAACTCGTTCTCCAGGGGAGAGGTCTGAAAGGTTCTTTTGGAGTCGGCGCAACTTGAGCTTTCTTAAGGAGGTGTTTCACAGTTTGGACTGCACGTTCAACTTCACCATTTGCTCTTGGATAGTTCGGGCTGGTCGTGATGTGAGTGAAGGCGTAATCTTCGGGGAAAAACATTCGACGAGAACTGCGGATCGTTTTCTGACACAAGTTGGTCCTGTATACCATGTCTTGATAGATTGATTTCAGGTGTGCCACTATATCCGGTGAAGTAGTATGGGTTAGCTTAGCAACTTCAGCGTACATAACGCGAGAAGTTATCACTTACAAGCAGAAAGGTAGGTTAAAATCGCTAAGAAAACTCTGAAGGTAACAGTTGGAAATGCAGGACTAAACTATGTGAAGAAGAACTTAAAACTGCTAAAAAAAGTAGAAACCTTGATGAACGTGATACCATTGACGTATGAAGAAGCAGCCCCCTAGACGAGCCAGTGACCACTCCTAACCATTCTTAGTTGGAAAGCTGTAATTGTAATAATATTGTAATGCACCAGGCGCTTATGCATGCATGATTCTTGATTTTGTAGCTTGTCAACGGAAAAAGCAATAAATGTAATAGAATACTCTGTTGATAAGATAATTTCCTGCCTTACAATTTTAGTCAGGCTAACAAAAAAATGTTTTCGCGGCGTAACGATTCCAGACATAGGAATGCGTAACAAGATCCCTCATCTGATATCAGTTTTGTGTATACAGCGAAGACGACTCGATCGGATCAAGCGCTGTAAACAGGTGCACCCACTGAATTAATGCGTTCGCTTAAACGGTTTCCTTTTCTAAATGATGTTCTATTGTGTCAAAAGTCACAACAAGTTTAAAATACTTGATACATTTAATGAATTATTGTGTTATTGTGGCTTTGCATTGAGACCTTCCATCGTGTATTGTAAACATGCAGTTATAATAGAAAATAGGCATATTTCGTCGATCGGCTGTGCTGATAAACCGTTTAAATCACAACATATTTTTATGTTTCTATGTTTTTGGACATTCCCTTGGTTGGTCTGAAAAGACATTTTTTTTAGAAGAAGATGTGGGGATTTTGGACAGTACTAGGATGAAAATATGCATTTTTGAGCCCTTTTCCACCTACAGCAAAGTGGGTGTAAATCAAAATATATTTAGTAGACATGAGTTGCTTTTGAAGGACCAAAATTGTGTGCTTTACACCATTTAAGGACCAACTTAATCCTAGGAAGTGAAAAAAAAAATCGTTGAAAGTGCAAAACTTTGAAGTGGTGAACTCGGCAATATGCGGTATTTTTACTCTTTTTCACTGCAAAAATTTGGCCGCCGGGGGCTGAAGTGATTTTCCTCCCGAAACATTTTCAAAAACTAATGCGGTTTCAGTTACTTTTGGACTAAGATATATTTATGGCAAAGTTTAAAGGGAATCGATTTTCCGAACCGAAACGCAGTGGACCGGTTTTAGGGAGACTCTCTCTTAAGCTTGATATACTGGCTTTCAAAATGCATGCACCTCCGTAGTTGAAAGCTTTTTTGAAACCAAGTCTTTCGTTGTGTTTCTTACCATCAATTTTGAATTTTTCCCATTTAAGAGGAGTTGGTGATCTACTTTACCTTTAGTGACCGAAGGTTTAAAAAGAGGGGTGGAAAAATGTTCTCGACTACTTGGAAGGGTCCACACAATTTTTTTTCCACTCAAGTTAACTTGCGTCCCCCATCACTTTTCTAATGATGCCTTTCTAACTCGGTCCTTTCTTGCCTGTTGTAATCGATTCCGCCGTTACCTTTTGAGTGAGTTAGTGCCAAGGTTGCTGCAGTGGTGAGAATACTCGCTTCCCATTAATGGTGCCCGGGTTCAAATCCGGTGGTGTCGACGCCATATGCGATTGTGTTTGTTGTTAGTTCTTTCCTTTGCCCTGAGAGATTTTTGTCCGGCTGCTACGATTTTCCAATTTTCAATTCCAATTTAATGAAGAATGGTAGATGAAGAATCACTGAACATAATGTGGATGTGCTTAACCACTAAATAATTATTCATTTGTAATTATTCGTTATTTTTATTAAACAGCCAAAGCAACTGAGAAATTTCCGAGCCCATGACCATCGATAAAGTAACTTTAATGACTTAATAACAGGCACTTTGTTACTACTTAGTAGTCTGCTTACTTTGTTGCGAGAGTCAACATCAGTGATGCGCCAAGAACAGATGAGGGCCAGAATGATTAGCAGCATTCATGTAAAGCTTTTGCATTTGCGGGTAAAAATTTGTCATTGTTCTCAAACACAAGGACAGTAAAAAAATCCAATGTTTTTTTCTTTCACAGATGTCAATGCGAGTACGAATCTTCGTTGGATTAATCGTGGTGTCAGTGTGGACAGTTGAAGGCAAGTAAAATCATGATTCGTTTGTATTGTCGTCTTTTACGGTTTTTTCTTGTCTCTGTTATGCATTAACAAACCAGCTAGAAGTGTAGCACAAATTAATTCGAAACCAAAGTATGCATGGGCAAACACATTATTTTGAGTGTAAATGATAATAAATGTGCATAGCCTGCGAACGGCAGACGTTTCTCCTCGCTCATCGCAGCTGAGGGACGTTTCGCGAGGAGGAACGTCTGCGACTCAGCGACAGAAATTCCATACTGATGACGCAAAATCTGTCCGGAATGCGTTCAGAAGGTCGACGGAGTAGTTTCATTGTTCTAGCTATTGTTTACCAATGACAGACAAAAGGCAGAAGGCGGCAAAGGTCAAATGTAAACGCGATAAATCTCTAACAAAACAGTCAATATGTGTTGAATATGTGTCTTCTCTAGAAGAAGCATTTGAGTTTTGCTGGAGCTCATTCGCAGATGAACACAACACTTTTCCAAAATTGACCAGGAAAAACGTAAAATTGAACAAATTTGCATTTGGAATCCCATGAATACCGGATTTATTATGTAAACATTGATTTACGTCATCAGTATGGAATTTCTGTCGCTGAGTAGCAGACGTTCCTCCTCGCGAAACGTCCCTCAGCGGCGATGAGCGAGGAGAAACGTCTGCCATTTGCAGGCTAAACTGTGCAAGAATTAATTTTTCTTTGTTAAAGGGACTGGTTCACGATAATGCGCATGTGTGAGTTCTGGCAGTAGCTGATTGTTTTTCAACCAATCGGAAGCGAGTTAAATGCACGCAAGTAAATTTACAAAATTCAAATTAATTGTTCGCGACGCGAGAGTATTTCCGGGCATTTGGTTTGATTTTATTTATCCCCATAATTCAAGTTTATTCTTTGCTACTCCTCAGATATATGTTGCAGCCGATAAGAATAAAATTTACAGCCCTGTCCTGCTTTGAAACAAACATTTACCAACGTGTATTTTTTACGAGGTTGTATCCACGCTAACAAAGCGGTCACCGATCGGCAAACAAAATTTGTAAACAAACATCTTATTACTGTTCTCTCAGTTCGCCTTATATAAACCCAGAAATACCTACAAATAGCGCTTGACCGGTGACAAAAGCACACAACGTATGAGTATAAAGATTATCCTTAACTGAGCATAAATTTCAATTGCTTATCAGCAAATGAACAAATTCATTCGCGTTGCATCGGGTCAGTGTTCCGCAAAACAAATGTTATCGAGTAGCACACATAAAGAAACTAGATTATAAACAGAATATTCAGGCAATAATTTATTTTAAAAACATCAATTCTTAAACATATACGATGGTAAAGCAAAGATACAAGGAACATTTCAAGTGTACCAGTTCGGTGAAGATCGCGCGGCCTGTTGCGGTATAACTACAGGTCGGAGTCAAAAATCAAATCAAAGTTGAACGAAATCATGCCTTTAACCACTTTCCAAGTGTCCTGTATTCTTTTCGTAAGCCACACACTACTCCTAGAACCATACCAGATCGATAGGCTAAGCTTCTCTATCTCCAAAGACTCTTGAGAACGTCCTGTTGCCGGACGGCCACGATGCTCTTTTGAACCTCATGATCAAAACATTATTTTTTGCGTCTTCTTAAAACGTTACCAGTCAAACGACACAACCACACGTTAATCACCACTATCGAAGTATAACTAGACCAGCCAAAGCGACGGATGTCCGAATAAAACGAAGGATTTTCAAAGATTGTACTGGTAATGGCGATTTCGAATTTAGTGTTGACCCAACAAAGTTATTCTGGAGAGAAAAACGGCGCGCATGCGCATTATCGTGAACCAGTCCCTTTAATGTTGGGGTTAACTTGAAACGCTCTATAAGGCAATGTTCAGGGGAACCCAACGAGAATATAGTTCAAAACCACTTAAACATAGCATTTTTAACCGTATTTTAGTATTTAAACGGTAGATATATTTAGGCAATTGTTTCATCTGTTCGGATTTCCTAGCTGAAAGTCTAGCCATCCGAAAATTATAGGTATCAAAACTTACCTTTTCGAAAATTTTAGCCAGAAAAAAGGCTCCCGGAAATTCTAGGTGACCTTTTTAGGCTAAAAATCCGTTAAAAATGGGCAATTATACCATTTTTAGACGTTCGAAAATCTTAGGAGAGGCAGGCAAGCTACAGATTTTCAGAAAAAAATGTTCCAAAAATTCTAGATCTCAAATCGTCTTCCGAACAGATATTTTCCGAAAATTGACGTTGGGTGCCCCTGACTGTTGTTATAAACTATATATAAAAACATTACTCCATGCTTATTTTCTTGTAGCTTGTAGATCAGCCGCTGCCATAATCCGTAAGGGAAATCTACCGACTGATAACACTAGACATAAATCGTATTAATGCATCTTTCCAGGCAGGCCACTGAGGTAAAACAAGGGGTCATTATAACAAATAAAAACCTACAGTTCCATTTCAGTGGCCACAATAATGACCTGCTGGTTCTAAAACAATGGAAAGGTGCATTCAATCGGATAATGAACTCGCTCTTCAGCCTCCTTCTGCCGCTGCTTTGTAAGAAGGCCTCGGGCTCAAGCATTATCCTGTATATATTACATTGCATCTTTACGTAATGTATTACTAACCTTTTTTACTGTTTTCTTCAAAACTTGGAAGATAATCTTGGACTGTTTACCCTGTCCACTCATATAGCTCGGTTACTAAATCTGAAGGCTTTCTTTACTTGCGAAACTTTCAGAACCTCGACTTTAACCAAACAAGCTTCTTGATTAAGCACTATATTTTTTATCAAAAATTTCCTTAATTATTAAAATAAGGGTCTTTAGAGTACGAGTATTCCCCCATTTTTCCTCAGGGATAGTAGAGCGAGCGAAACGCGAGCGCACGTGAAAATCGACTCACGCGAGAAAGGCGAGACGCGGTGGGGAGACGCCGCGTGTCGCCTTTTCTCACGTGGGGTGATTTGCATTCAACTGAGGTGAATCCATGTTTTGTGCCATTCAGCTCAGAGGTTTCATTTTAGTGACTCTTTGCATGTGAGTTTTTATGTTTCTCAACAAATCTTCTTACCAATGGCGGTGTGTACAGTTAATTTTTTATAGAACTGACACTCAGACAGACAAATGAGTCTTAAATCATTAAAATAAAATATTTGTCTGACTCTTAAAACAAAATAAAAAAGTGAAACAAACATTGCAAACATCATTTGTCTCTCTGTAACAGACCCAGTGAAACCCTATCCAGGGGCTCAATTCATTCTATCCGGTGGTAATTTATCCTCCCTGATACCTGGAGAATAGTTCGTTTCTACCTGCATAATTTTGCCCCCCTCCCCCTCCCCCCCCCGCCACTTTCTATTATGGCTTCTACAAAATCAGTGTATTTCGTTATTCGTATTTGATGTTTAAAAGGAGCAAAAATATAAAACATAATTACCATTGACAAAAAAAAAGGGTTTTAAAAGGTTTCATACCAGTAAAGATGTAGGGCATGTTACCCTTTCTAGCTTTTATGAGAGATACAAAACTAAGAACAAAAAGCCCAGTGGTAAATAAACCAACCCGGTGACGTTTTCGCCGGTAAACAGGTGAAGATGTAGATTTTACTGGGTATGTTAAAAAGGGTGTTCATGATCATTAGCCCATATAATAGCGATCATAACGATCCAGCTTCTCAGTTGTGCTATGGAACCGAAGAGAATTCTTGTTACTAATAACGTGTTAAGCGTTAAAAGTTAGCCCGTCAAGAGAGTAAAGTTTGTGAGTTTTTTAAACATTGATTTTCGCACTTCTATTTGCAGTTGTCAACTCTGAAGCATGTTTCTTTGCTGTTAACGAATCCAGTGGGTTCATCAGCTCCAGTGAAACCAACAACTACAAGCGTTGTACGTGGATCATCACAGCACCATCTAACCAAACCATCAAACTGATATTTACGACCTTTCGTTCATCTGCTTATTTCTGGAATCCAACCGAGATCAAAGTTTATGACGGAAAAAGGAAAAATGATACTGTACTGGGAGTTTTTAATGGAACAAGACAGCCCTTCCTCATAAAAACGAGTGGTCGATTCATGATGTTGACTTTAAAAAAGAAATACCCATTGAGCCTTTGTATCTTTAATGGAGCATTTTACACGAAAATAAAAGGTTAGCGATAGTTAGTTGTCAAAACAACAGAATTTTAACTACATAAGAATGCTAATTAGCTCATTATTAAAATTAGTTTGACTAATGACGCGGCTCACGGTTCGCGGGTCGCGGATTGTATGTCGCGGGTGCGGGTTTGATGTCACGGATGCGGGTCGAAAGTCGCGGGTGCGGCTTTCGATGTCGCGGGTGGAAGTTATTTTGCGTGAAATTCGGGTTAGAGTTCGAGGTTAATGACTAAAATGACTGATAATATGTAGGTACTAACTCCTCTAAGCCACTAAAAAGAATCCTCCTTTTAAGGGAGGGTCTACTACGTGATTGATAAAAAATTTCACAACTGAATTGAAATAACTCCCTCGTCAAACTTAAAGTCTTAAAACGTTTACAGCGGAAAAAAAAAAAAAATTATGCACAAGACTCCACGGTAGCAACCAACAGCCAATTTACAGGTTACGAATGTCAGAGTCAATATTACTGTCTAAAGGAAAACCTAAAAGAAAAATCGGGCCGAATTATGTTTGTTTCTTATCGTATATCGGGCCCGGACGAATAGTTATGTGTTAAAAACCTAGTGTTCCATTTCAGTGACCCAGGTAAAAAGATGCTAAGTAAGTTTTTACACATGAATTCACCTGTCAAAACTTTCACCAATCTGAGACTATAGATTGTTTCTGGAGCGTGAACAAACGCCTGACCAAGCTAAAAGCACACCTTTCAAACTCTATTTGTGATAGGGTTTTTTATCATACCGTATTTATTAGAATAAGCGCCCAACCTCGAATTAGCGCCCACCTCGAATAAGCGCCCATGCTAAAGGCAGAAAAAGTCAATAAGCGCCCAGCCTCGAATAAGCGCCCACCCCACCCAACTCCCTCCCATAAAAACTCCATTAAGAGATAACAAGAGAGAATGATCTCATTCTCTCTTGGAGATAATAAGAGACCCTCCCGAAGACGGAGTTTTCTTCAGAGTATTTTACAGAAACCTTGCTTTGCTACATCTTCGTTTTTTGTTATTACCATTTACTGTTTTGTTGCAAAATATACTACTACACTTGCTGAGAATGGTGAAAATTTAATAAGCGCCCACCTCGAATAAGCGTACACTCTCAAGGTCCAAAAATTTAATAAGCGCCCAGGGCGGTTAATCGAATAAATAAGGTAAGTTAAACAAACGAAATCCACGATCTTTATTGGAATTTTCTCGCATTGATAGATTTCAATATTTTATAGCAATGGAGGTTCCACTACACCTGTATGCTGAAGCTCCGCTAAATATTCTTGGGATTCATTGAGCGAGGTGTTCTAAAGAGTGTTCGCTTATATTTTTGAAGTAGGTTTAAGCAACTCTAATTTTGCTTGCAACCTGATATAACTTGAAATCGGAACATCTGAGAAACGTGCTAAATTGAATTTTTCAGAAAAGCCGAGGATAAGTGTACCGTTGGTGGAGTTGCAAACTTTGAAAACTGTACCAAACCATTATATCTGGTTTCTGCTGGAAGGTACCCCACCGTTTAAATTGACTCTGGTGAATACATCAACATCTTTTGAGGGCGGTTTCAACAGAAAAGGATTTCAAATAAATCGGACGGGAACCTACAAGTACACTCTACTAGCAGTAAATGAAAAAGGAATTGACTCAAAAACGGTTGAAGTAACCGTTCTGGGTAAGGATTCAATGCTGTTAAATTTCATTCAATGTAGATAAGACATTTTGCAATGAACAACCATTATGATAGTAGTTCGCTCAAACAGTTGTGTTGAATTTTGTCCTTATTTCATCCGTTGATGATTCAGTTCATTCCGTAAAAAATGAATGTAAAAAGTTTTAGACTACGTACTTGCTTTTATTTTGCCAATGTTTTGAACACCAGAACACGGGTAATTTGTGCCCATTTAGGTTTGTAAACAATAAGAATTTACCAAATAATAGAAATTTTGGTTTCGCCATTAATCAATGAGTAAAATTAAAATTCCTTATTGTCTATTAATACTGTATTAATGCATATATCGAAGTGTGCCGCTTTCTTCAAAAATTCCCCCTACCAAATGCCTTATTCTTGCGTTCATTCACTTTGCAGATTGCAATCATTGGTGTCGCAGTAGAGGTTCGATAACAAGTTGTGGCCAAGTTACCAACGAACACGACTGTAGTAAAAGCAACATAACACATAATTGGAAATGCATTCCAACTACAACCACTAAATTGTAAGTGTATTTCCTTTTTCACCTTTCGTTTTATCCCAGTTTGACACAAACTACAAAATGCTCAAAAATCCCGCCCCTGAAAGTAAGAGAATCTTTTGGCAACCATTATGTACTTGTTTACTTTAACTTGACAAGAGCGCCAGGCAGCTTTCTAGTTATAAGCGCTCTAAAGGCGATCAAGCTTTGACTTTCAACTGAGCGCGCGTGCAATGCAAAACTTGCCCTTTCATTTACAAAGTGGAAAAAATTTCGGCTGTACGCATTCACCTTCCCAATCGTTATCTATAGCATAACCTGTTGCGCGCTATTAAATAAGACAAACGTGGGCGCGCGACAAACTGATGATTCTTAGGCGACGGATATCCAAAGAAATGACACAGGTGCATCAAAACCTGCGGCGCGCTTTTAGAACCTTCCTTTATTTCTTGAAATATGCAGTCTCTTTTACACCAAGGAATCACAGAGCTTTGCAAAAGCCTTATCTTTCAGATGGGTACTCAAAATCCCTACGGAATCAATAAACGCTGCTCTATCAACTAATTCATTATTTTTGCACACATTGCCATGTTCCCGACCGCCAATAGTATTACATAATGTTCAACGAGCGTCTGTAAAAGAAGCTAAGAACTAACAACATTCATCTTCTTTTTCATTATTATTATTATTATCATTATCATTATGATTATTAAAGATGATGTGAACTGTGCAAATAAAAACTTTAAAAGATGTGGTCGTCGCAGTGTAATTAATTGCTATTTAAAAAAC